ATTAATTTGATGGAAAATGGACTTTCTCTGTATTGGATGCTCCATGAATAAACCTGATAGACCCACTCAGAGTCAGAAGGTGACCTTCTTGCTGAAACTTTTAGAGGCTCAGGAAGATTTTAATTCACTTTTGGTACCTCCTTGACCCAGGGCGCACTGGTGGCTGAACATTTGACAAGAGAAGAGGTACTGTGGGGACTGATCACTATTTTGATTGTGAGTAGATCAAGGAATGACCTTGGCAAGTGTATGATATTTGCTGCCTTGATGGCATCAGAATCATTTTCTTTAAAGCAAAGGTATTAAGTTTATGACAAATTATTATGTCAATCACTTACTAGAAAATATTACAGACAGAAAAAAACCCCAAAACAAAACAGTGTGACAGAGATCCATTTCTCGGGAGTTATACACTCCATGCTCCCCCTAGGGTTCTCTTGGCTGTCAAGTATTACTGCTCAGGAATTTGAATTTATAGAAAGAAGTTAGTGGGCTTCTCCCCCTGTACTCAGCACTGCCTCACTTCTGCCTCTTCCCTTATTCTTTATCTATTTCTTGTTGAAATATTCAGTATTCACTCTATTGCTGGGTGACATGTTATCCCAGCTGTGTTATCAGACAAGCTAACAGATATACTGTCCCAGATAAGCATGTCATGCTATAGTTCACTTTATGTGGTTATAATACAGTATTGTGTCCTCCCTGAACACACTTAGGCAACCTGCTGAGTGCTGAAAGTGCTCTTGCAAATTCAGCTGTCTTCACTGGGAGCCCTAAAGCTTCACTTTTAGAGCAAAGGTTCTGAAGAGCTGCAAAGTCACTACATGGAACTGCCTTTTCTCCAAAAACTTCTCTAGGCTTTAAGCCTTGCTTTCAGCTAAGAATACTTCTCATTAATTTTAGCACTTCTTCCTAGATGCCCTGAACTTCCTCTGAAGCCAATGGAAAACGGAAAGCAACCCTTGAGGGCAAAAAAGCTTTTCAAGGAGATCTCTCCCAAAAATCTTGTCTGGTTGGAAAAGCAAATGGGAAGAGAACTGACATAGCAATTTAATTTTTCCTGTTAGTCTCACCCTCTGCCTCCTTTTCCATAGTATCGAATTTTAGAGTCACCTCCTTGATGTTAATATGTATTTGTTTAGTGGTCCTGGAGATGACTTGTCAAACCATCTCATTTGCACATGCTTTTGCACTTGCCCTTCTTCAGTGAACAGCTGAGATAAAAAATCCTCTATGCTACTATAAAGGATAAAAGAAAATTATTTTCTTTCGTCAAAGCAAAAGAGCTTTGATGTTTTGGAAATGAAGGTCAAGAATTTTGTTCCTAAGCTTTTAGTGGATCTCATTAAAAAGTCAACATTTACCAAGGTCAGATGTTGATTACATTTTCAAGCATTGAGAGCAACTTCCCTACATAACTCTGGCATTTTGGTTCTGGGTCACATATACGGCAAGGTCATAATTTTCACCGTGCATTGATACGCTTATCATAGAAGATAACTTTGAAGCTCTATCTTAGAAAGAAGAACTAATAATTCCTTTTTGTCAGGAAAATTTCAAAGTATTAATCAAATGAATGTAAGATTGCTTTTATAGCCTAATATATGTAACATTTCTTTTATTTTGGTCCAGTTCCGTGAATCAATTAATCTCCTCTCATAAATGAAAAATTATTTAACTGTCAGGTAATGTCCAAACTGATTCATCAAAACTCAGCTGCTTAGAAGTACGATGGAATACTGGGCTTCTTTCCCTAAGAAATTATTGCTGTAGAAATGTTGATTGTATTTAATGATAGCAATACCTCACAGGGAACCAGAATGTGATTAATTAAATGCTAGGTTGTTGAGCATTACTTAGCAAAGGAGACAGTTACTAGGAACCAGTTTGTATTAATTATTTTTAAAGTAGTTCATACGGCAATTAATAATTTAATATTTAATTATATTCATGCTATCTTTTCTTAATGTGGCTCATATTTTAAAGAAATCTCAAATGTCTCTTTCACAAACTGTTTATGAACTCAGAATCCTGGATTTTGCCACCTGGTGATGACAAGCAGAAGGTCCAGGGGGGACTCATCTGTTTTGAAAAATACAATACCAAAGTAATGATACTAAACAGATTACTGACAACACCAGACAGGTTAAAGGTCTCTCTGCCCTTGTGAGACCCCACCTGGAGTAGTATGTCCAGGTCAGGAGTCTCCAGCACAAGAAAGAAATTAATCTCTTAGAGCAGGTCCACAGGAGGCCACCAAAATGACCAGGGGGCTGGAGCACCTATGCTATGAGGAGAGGCTGAGAGTGCTGGGGTTGTTCAGTCTAGAGAAGAGAAGACTCCAAGGAGACCTTGTTGCAGACTTTCAGTACCTAAAGGGGGCTTAAAAAGAAGAAAGAGAGTGACCTTTTTCATGGGCAGATATTGATAGGACAAGGTGGAAATGTTTTTAAACTAAAGGAAATGAGTTTAGCTTAGATGATAGGAAGAAATTCTTGACTGTGGGGGTGGTGAGGCTCTAGAACAGGCTGCCCAGAGAAGCTGTGGATCCCCCATCCCTGACAGGACTCAAAGCCAAGTTGGATGGGGCTTTGAGCAATGTGGCAAGTGGGTGGCATTCCTGCCCATGGCAGGGGGATTGGAACTATGTGACCTTTAATGTCCCTTCCAACATAAGTCATTCTATGATTCCATGATTAAGTAAAGCATATGCAAAGAATCAGAATGACTCAAAGCAGGTGCCAGTCATCAGCCTGCTGCCTATAGAAGAAAGGAAGTTTAGTTACATTCAGCAACTAAATGTAGATAGTGAGGTTCTACATCACCTTACCTTGTCTAGTATATTTGTCTTCATACCTACGGGAACAAAAAACTGCTGCTACAATTCTTGTTTTTATCATCTGAAACCAAATTAGACCCACTATCAGACAGCTATCTTAATCATAGAATCACTTTGACTGTAATGACTTAATTAACCTCTGAGCACATGCCTGCAATAATCTCATACATTTTATTTCAGTTTTAGCAGTTACAGTTTCTACACAGTTTACCTCTCTCATGAGGTTACAGAGATATTCCATAGAAGGCACTGAGTAAAAACAGGGGAAAAAAATTGGGGGGTTTTCTCCAGGGAAATTTCTTAAGAATTTGAAAAAATGCCTGCCTTGAACAAAGACGAGAAAACAAAACCCTTCCTTTTTTATGCTTCAACAGCTCTGTTGCTCTTCTTTGGACATGCTCTAACAAAATTTATTAGGAAAAATTTCTTCACTGAAAGGATTATTAGGCATTGGAACAGGCTACCCAGGGACGTGGTTGAGTCACCATCCCTGGAGGTATTTAAAAGACGTATGTGTGGCACTTAGGGACATAGTTTAGTGGTGGACCTGGCAACGCTTGGTTAACAGCTGCACTTAATGATCTTAGAAGTCTTTTCTAAACTAAATGATTCTGTGAGTCTAAGACAGCCTGTGTTAGAGGAGCAGCTAGCCTACCCATTGGCAGATACACCAAGGAAGCACAGCTATGTCTGTGTTGACCCTGAGATGGGAGAACACATGGAAATGCTTGAGAACAGGTCTCCCAAGTAGGGTCTCTAAATCCCATCTGCTCTTGCAGCTGATGATGTGAGGGAATACTGGCTCATCACATGTCAGACATCAAAGGACATGGCCACACAGGGAGATGGATCTTAATACTATTTGCTTTTCTAGTCAAAGCCATGATAAAACATCTGGGATTCCTCCCTGAATGTTCCTCAGGGATTGCATTCAGCCCAAACTCAGGTTGTGTCCACTTAATGAGGGACGCTGAGTTCTTCCTCAATCACCAACCTATGGTCATGCTCAGTGTTTGATAAACATGGTCTGAGAAACAAGATCCTGGTTTGTACCTTATCTTACAGTAGGAGTTGAACCTGTGGCTTTCTCATTCACTGAGTGGTCTGGTCCTTCCAGAGAGGAAACTTCACAGGGAAATTTCCAACAGCCTGAGCACACATCACAACCACTGCTGGACTGACCCCTCTGCCAGTTCAGCATGAAGTAACTGTATGGCTAATATTAGACATTCAACGGGTACAAATCTGTCGTTCCCAGAGACTGTTTTTGTGAAAGCCTCTGTAAGGAATAAATGTAAAAACTGCCCCTTTACCACATGAAAACAAATATTTTCTGGGACAATAATTAATTTCTGCACTGATATCTAGAGAAAAGTGTTACATGACTTCTAAAATCAGGTTTACAGAGTTCTGTGAACCCTTGTGAACGTTTGTGACTTTAGGGTTTTTTTATTCAAAGCAAAATATTGCACTTTTCTTAGGTTTATTTATTTTCCTGGAATGATAGGTAATCAATATACTTAAAGCAAAACATGAAGGCGAGCATACCCATGGTGTGAAAGCGTACTGAAAGGTACTCAGTGTGGTTTCAAGTCCCAGTCCTCCAAAGTGTGGAGGAGATGTGTTATCAGAAAACAGTTTTTAGAGTTTTGTTCACTTGGTCTGACTACCTTATAAATTTTTTTTTTTTTTAGTTGAACATGGGATATTTTAATCTTTTGTAAAACTCTATCAGTCCTTTGAAGATAAAAGATCTCTTGATGCCTAACACCCTGATGAAAACCAGATGACAAGTAACAGATTTTATCTATGAAGAAAGATTTTTAGTTACTTTGCTTTGTGCTTTTGCTCTGGTTCTTGTTCCTGTTGACCTAGACATTGTCTTTTAGTAAAGTTCAATATTAATAGCCAGGAGGATTGATGATGTTTAAATACAGCAAAGACTTAAAATTTCATATTTTCGTGGTAGCAGAACCACAGACAGATTCTCTGCTTGTGCTAAGGCGTTTGACTACAACAGATCTGTGATGCTTTATTTAGAGTAAGATTTGGACCCTGGGGAATGGGATTGTGAGTCATACAAATTACTGTCTTTAGTGTCCTAATTGATTCCATCTGTAGTTTTACACCCTTTCCTTTTTTCTTCCTCTTTCCTTTGTAGTCAGAGCTACCTTCAAACTGCAAGTGACGTGCCTGGGGGTCACAACCTGGATCCCTCTGCAAACTACAATTCCCCAAAGTTTCGCTCAAGGAATCAGAGCTATATGAGAGCAGTGAGCACGCTCAGTCAGGCCAGCTGTGTTAGTCAGGTGGGAAATTCTTCTTATAACTTTTTTTATAGGTTAACTGCAGACGTGAGAGTTGATACTAGTGGATGGGTTTGGCATTTTTTTTTTTTTTTAAATTTATATCAAGTTGAAGATGTGCATTGTCAAAGTAATTCCGTTCTAAGGAATGTAACTCAAAATTTCAAGAAAAATGCTAAATACTAGAAACAAAAGGATACTACCACCCATAATATTTTACATTTATTTTTTGTAAAAAATATAAATACTAGGTGTGTAATTTTCAGTCTATCTTAAATATTTCAATGTTAAGAAGATTCAGACTGAGAATGAGGAGCACACTCCTATGGTACTTATCCTCTGAAAATACCTATTCTGTTTTCAGTAAATGTGGATTACCAGATTAAAATATAGGTTGAAAAAAATTATACTCCAATGGAGCAGTGATTCATCTCTAAACTCAATCCCCACTCTTTTTGAGTGGAAGAATAAGTTCCATCAACTATTCTATGTATGGGTTCTGAAAAGATAAATTTTTTTCCCCTACTGGTTTTATGTCAGTTACTTAGTATTAACTTCCTTTATAGTGAGATCTGAATCAGACCTGAAGTGCAAGCAGCCTTAGGAAGTATGTGCATGTTTTGTTTAGCAGAGGGCTTTACATAAAATTCCCAATGTTTCTAATGTTTATTGGTCCTGACATTTCTTCCCTGTATTGTTTCATGACAGGTGGGCCCTTCCCTCTTCTCAGATATGTTATTAAGTTTCCTTTGACCATTTAGTGAGCCACCTAAGGGTATACATGCACAATATTTATGTTAAAAGAGACATCTTTTTGAAGCAATTTAATATTCATTCATATTCAGTTTTTATTGCGTGGCTATTCAGGCCTAGATGCACTCGTCTAACTTGAGGCTTTTAACTGAGGCAACAACTAAAGCTTTCTCTGTAGTTAATGGAGTGAAAGAGTTTCTCCCTGGACAACTCACATCTAGAGTGGGCAGAGAACCCTCTGGAAATGCCTGTCAGGATCCACTGACTGTAGAGAGCTGGGAGGGACTAGTCATGTGACTAATGCCCTTCAGTCAAATTCCATAATTTATACGGGGTAATTCTAAGTATAATCTTGCACAAGACACATTGGAATTAGAAACAGCCATTTTCCAAGCCTTTTATTACTTTTTATAACTCCTTTTTGAAACCTGTCCTCATCATTCTCATGCCTTGGTTTTTATCATGCTGGTTTGGTTATTTTCTATTTTTATTACACTCTGGTTTTGAGAAAGTTTCATAATGATTAGATCCTGCATTCAAAGCAAGTGCTATTGGCTGTCACCTAACAATGTTATCATATAGAACTATTCTGCCTCTTTGAACATGTCTGTGCACAGAGATGTTCACTGAGCTGTCCATAATTACTCATTGGTTTCACCACTGGTTAAAATTCTTCATTTCAATGTGCATTACCTAGAAGACACCCACAAAAGATTTCATTTGCAGGTAGTTTGTTCAATTGGACAGGTTAACTAAACCTGCTGGATATAGCTCCTTACTTTTTCAGTTTTCACTAACCTATGCAATTTTTTGTCAGCCACATACTCCCTACCTCATAGTTCAGTGTTTCCAGACCAGTAATATATGCATTTATTAGATATTACACAAAGCAAATGTATTAAATATCAAGTTCTGAACCTTTGCTGTTTCCTGTTCTTTTTCCATGTCACCATCATATTATTGTCCCATATATATAATAGCAGTTTATTTTTATATAATTTTGTTGTGAGATCCTTCCTTTTTCACTCCTGACAAAGGAAAGAGTCAGGAAAGATGCTGAGTGATATGGTTTATATTTTTAATTTAAGTTTAAACCCTTTTATTTTTATATTCCCAATGACCTTAGTTTGAAAGAAGTGGTTAAGACTTACAGTGTTTATGGACTAAATTATCATAGATTTCCTTATCAACAATATTGAAAAATAGTTCAGAGTAAGATTTTTAAAATCTTTTTGAGATTACATTAGTCTACTTACCTTTAATAAAAGCCAATTTTATGAAGGTTAATGTAATTCCTTTCAGAAGAGTTTTAGTAGCCAAAACATCTAACTCAAAATTAAAATATCAGTTATTCATAATGATCAGAACTTCTGTTTAAAATTTCCATTTACTTAACTAAAATCCTAAACTGACTCTCTTACCATAATGAATAAAGCACTAGGAGCACTTAGCAGCTGTATAGGAAAATTAATATCAGCTGGATGTGCCATTTACTGATGCTATAAATTTAACTTGTAAAATTATTCATACTGATTCTGATTTTTAGCACTCTCTTTAGAAAAAAAAAATTTTTGGAAAGTCATGCATTTGTCTGTCCAGTGTTAACTTCCTATCTGATTTTGGATAAACATAATATTGAATCATTCAGATACATTTACAAGTAGTTAGGACTGACTTCAGTGAACCTGGTAAAAATGCTGTAGGCAGAATTTAGGCACTAATCCTCAGAACTGCAACACACAGTTCCCTACTGAAAGGTTCCATAAGCTTGGCCAGCCTGTATGAGCTCTGTTTATTATGAAAATTGCCTAAAAATGTACAGTGTTGCATCATGCCCAACCCGCAAGGCAGGGTCAGCAGGTGGAGCGTGCTGCGTGCTGCCCAAGCGGTGGGGGCTGCTGCTGTAATACCCCAAGGGATGGGCCTGTTAAGGGTGCAGGCAGGCTCTGCTGGGATGCTCTGACAGGCAGGATTCCTCAGCATGCTTGGTGGCAGAAGTATCAGACTTTAAATAATGCTGCTGAAAGAAAGGTTTTTCCATTGTAATTGAATGGCTAACCCACTTAACCAGGGAGTGAGTTTGGTTTAGGGCCCTTCTCAGCTAAAAGTGGTCCAAGCAGTACTTTCTCATCTGACCACTTTTCATTCGGTTTCAGACAATGGTTATTCTTTCACATGCTTCACTGGACACAGTTGTAGATGCAATATTTCTCAAACCTTTCAGAAGCATCACCTCCTCTGAACTTTTATACGTCTTCAAGAATGAGATACTTCCTTGAGTCCCTTTATGTGAGAGGAAGATAACCGGCCACACAGGCTAAATGTCCACAGGAGTAGTAACTTTGCTGACAAGTGAGGAGCCCAAGCAATTGACCTTCATCTTTTGAGGCTAATATCAGCATATTTAGGTTTGGTTCTCCTGTCCTGGCAGATCATAGATTTTTATCAGCACAGAGTATTCTTGTTGGCTACCATTAAATCATGTATTTACAATCCTCTGGCTATGCCAAAATATATTAAATGTAAAATTAATGTATGGCATGTGTGTGCATGTGTGATACACTTAATATATACATGTAAACAGCTGATTTACATTAAACAATGTGAATGTGATCAGAAGGGATTACTAAGTTTTAACTATTTGCTAAAACAGTTCTTCATCAATGTACAGGTGTCCATTTGAGATGTTGAGGCCGTGATGATCACAAAAAAGCAAGTCAAAAATCAAATGCATTGTTGTTGTTTATTCAGATGAGTGAAGCAGAGGTTAATGGGCAGTTTGAATCGGTGTGTGAATCAGTGTTTAGTGAAGTTGAAGCTCAGGCAATGGATGCCCTTGACCTCCCTGGATGTTTCCGAACAAGAAGCCACAGTTACTTGCGTGCCATTCAGGCAGGCTATTCCCAAGATGATGAATGTATACCTGCGCTGACATCCTCCAACATCACCTCAACTATCAGGTCAACCACAGGTAAGCAAGTCTACACTGACTTTTTCCCTGTTCTGCATGTAAGAATATGTAATCTTGTTTTCTAAGAGGTTGTTTGACACTGTAAACAATTTCCCTGTGAAGTGATAGTGTTTGATACCAGTTCTCTTAAGACTGTAATACTGTATCATTGTGGCTACATCTTGGAATAAGCACTTTCGGGGAAGAATCCTGCATGCATGATATAATGAACTGGGGTTTTTGACTTCCATTCCCTGTACATACAGTTGTCTAGGTGCAAATATAAAAATACAAGTGCAAATGGTATAATTTAGATATGGTTAGACATGTCTGTGGTTTATCTATCAAGTAGTCGATCTTCTAAATAAGATTAGTTGCAGTAAGTTTAATTTAGGTCTTTAAAGCATCAAGAGAAAAAGAGAAGCGAGATTAAAAATATTTGGTCTAAACACTTGAAGGCAATTAATTTAAAAGGGAATTAATTGCTCTTAGTCAAGGTGTAACCAGTTGTATCAATACAGTGAATTGTAAACATTATGGCAAGTTTCACACATCTGCCATTACTCATCAGTAATAATTTGCGTTCTTGTTATAAGACTGTTAAGATCTTTTAAGATTCTTTTGGCAACTTCTTTTCTCCTAATAGTTGCTTAGCAAAGATGGTAACTTTATTCATTTTAGAATATTAGGATGTATTGGTAGAGAAAAGATTGCATAGAGAGCAGTTAAATAATTAAAATGAAATCTATAGGAAATATGTATTCTTTGTTAAGTGATGCAAATTCACTTTTATATTTCCAAATATGTTAATGTCAGTTCCTAATTAATACTGTCCTTTCCACATGCTATTAAATTGCAGTGCAGGCTACCCATCTACAAAAGGTAAAAATGAGCTCAAAATGTATCACATAAAAATATAAAAATACTTTTAAAATTATTTGTTTGACACATCTGTTGTATAACAGAACAGTGGGAGCTTAGAAAGGAAGTGAGCTGCAGTTGAATAACATACATTTGCATTCCAGAAGTAGCATAAAATGTTATTTTATCTTAAGCATAGTATTTAAATTGCTATATATAACTTCGTGTAAAACTAGAAATTGTGGCCTACAGTGCCCCCTCTAGGGATGTTTCTGTCCTTTGATTAATAGAAATGCTATCTCGATACAAAGTGAGATTTTATTGCTACCCCGGTGACTAATTTTCATCTTTATCATATAGTACACTGTGTGATCATTATAAAGACACCTTCCATGGCAAAAGACACTAATAGACACTTATTTTGGTGTCTGACTTCGGGTACTGAACTGGAGTAGTTTCAGAATTACTTTCAGAATTACCAATACAAGTGGATTGGTTTTAACCTAGCCTGTCTTGAGTTTACATACTAGATAAGCCCAAAATTCTCACTGAAAGGAATTTATTTTATTTACTCTGGAATGACAAAGCTGAATAAGAGAGTATGTTTGAGAAAGTGTAGGATTAGGTAGTACGTATATTTGCATCACAGTGTTTTCATACTTTTATATTGATCAGCAGGCTGCTGGTTAAATGCTGTGGTTTTGAAAACTTTAACCTTCATTTTGCACGTAGCTTCTCCCTCATCTCAGAAATGATTTATCAGATACATTTCCTTGCCCACATATGTAATTACTCTCCTTTGTTGTGGTGAGGTGATATTGACATTCTGGAGAAAAAAGATTATTTGAGGTGTTTTCCTGATCCAAAAGTGTTTCCAGGCTTGTGGACTATATACAGTTCTGATTGTGCTTCTGTATTCAATATATCATCTCTGTACCACTAAGCAAGTTTTTCCTCACCTTCTATATAAGGGAAATATTCAAATTAGAAATAATTTTCAGTTTTACAAAAGAGTAAGGATTAGTTGATTCACTTTTAATCAGAAATTTCAGTTGCCAAATAAGTTCTTATTTTTAAAACTCTAAGGGTAATTCTTCCATTTTTCTCTCTTTGACCCTTCTGAGTTTGAAGGGAGATACTTCATTTCCTATCATTGCTATAATTCAAAAAATGTCTTACTTCTCCATCCCTCTCTGAAAATGGTAAAAGAAACAGTTGCCTGAAAAGTGAAAATGGTGTTGGCAGATATGTGGCATTTATATGGGCTTCATTCAAATAAATGTCAGAAAGGTTAGAGTTTCACATCAGCCTTCAGTTCCAATTTAATCTTTTGAATTCTTAGCAAAATTACATTACATTAATTCCTTTTTTGCTTCTGATGTAGCAAACTCTTCTTGGCAAAGAAACTAAAGTAATTTCTTAGAAAATTAACAGGCTTTTCAATTTAATTATTACGTGCAAAATTTAGTGATATAGGTCATGACTGCCTCTTATCATTGTTGTGAAGCAGTTAAATCATAACACACAGACTTAGCTCAAAATTAATTTATGTAATTAAAAATGTAAACCTAAAATAAAAAGCATAGTATTTGATCTATGAATTCAATTACAAAAGTATAGAGCATATATTTGCAGCATGCAGTCTCCTAAAATATTGCTAGATGCATTAACAGCTTTCAGAAGGTAGAAAGGTTGCAACTGTAATGAATATTATGTGGGACATTATTAATGGACTCTGCTAACAGGGTTTTCTAATAGATGGAAAAAGAGCTACCAGTATGTAGCTGTTATTAACTGTATTCAGCTTCACAGAGAAAGGCCCAGTGGTTCATTGCTAATATCTGTAGTAATGAAGAACACATAACTTTTGAACAGATCCACATAGTTTAATTATTTGTGGAACTGGTCTTCTCCACCTCTGAAGGCCACTGTGTAACAGGGCATAGGGCACTCCTTGTTGCCCCAGGTGTAAATGAATAAGAAAAGCGACGGTGCAAAGGAAGCAGCCACAGTGCTGGCACAGGGAAAACTAGACCTGGCTTTGTGTAACCCTTGCTGAGACTCATGTTTCATTGTGGTTAGGGCATTTCTAGCCATCACGTTTCATTTTGTGAAGAGATAATGAACCCAGTAAAAAATTCTTGATATTAAAAGCCCTGAGTGACAGCATATGCTTTCTGTCTCTGAACTGTATCCAGCAGCAGCTGTCAGATGCACAGCTGAGAAAATACAGCTCCAGCTGCTGCTGCCTCCCACCTCGTCCCTCCATCACAGACAACATGTAATTTCCTGAATGGAAAGTCACAGAGTGCAGTAGTCATCCAAAGTGCTACTGCCTTACAGCTCTGCTTCTCCTACAAGCAGTGCTTCACTTTTCAGGAAGAGTTCATAAAAAATGGGTCACTTTCCCAGGTAATCTTGGTTCCCTATTGTCTAAGCATGTCTGTGCATATATTCACTGCGCTGTCAACTTGCCAAGCTCCTTCCCAGTAACACCTGGGGAGCGTGGCAGAGTGCTGTGGGAAGGTGCACGAGCTGCCTGAGGTATTGGATCTGTGTCACCACCAGTTCAGCCTGCAGTGAGCTCTGGCTGCGTAGTCCTGCTGAGAAACAGAGTGCAGTAGGCTGGGAGCAGTGCTGCAGTAGCACATTATCCCACCTGCAAAACCTGGGTTCTCTTACTGAAAAGTAATTCAAATACCCTGCTACAACAATGGACTATACTATGAAAACAACCAATGAGGACATCTGGAAGATATTACCACTCTCCATTGTTTCCTGTTTGTATGAGAAGATCAGCTTACTTTTGTTACAAGTTCTATATGTAGAGAGAGTCCTTTATATTACTCACTCCGTGTTATAGAATATTTCAGGATGTTTCCTCATAAGTTTTTTAGTTTGGTTTTACCATGAATGCAGAAATACTTTCTCAATTGCAGTGGTACCAGAGGCAGCAGTTAGGATGGTCTCTTGTGAAGCAGGTGAACATATCCCTTCTCTGACAAAGAGAGTTACTCAGTATTTGTACCTTTGGCTAACTTGAAAAGCAAATTATCGTCTGTTCGGATGTGGGAGGCACACATATTTTCTCCTGATGGCATTTTTATACATTGTATGAAAAACTTTCACCTTTATTGAGAGGAACACTGATAGTGCTCAAGATAGAATCATTTTCAGTTTCTTAAACCTACTTCACATTTTCCTCTAATCCAATTTTTTTTTTTGGCTACAGCAGTGGTTTTTGATGAATGGATTAATGACAAAAAAATACAAGTACCTGTGAACTTCAGCACAGTGGGAACAGGGCCAGGGTACATAAAGGTATCCTGGATTTCTGTCCTATGTTAAGTGTCCAAGGTCACTTCTCCCACTTCAAGATTTCCAGCTAATCTTGAGAGAAACTTAGCATGAAGCACTGCTAAATTCAGGGAACATAGTTACTAGCCTTAAATGGCCAGTATTACAGTTTTTTTTTCTCTAGAAAATGTAGCATAACGAAAATCTGTCAGATGTTTTCCAGCTGTAAGGATTCTATCAGTTGTGCGTGCACCCCCTTTTTTCTGATTCATGGTAGGTAGCTCAACTAAGCTCATGCTTGCTAAAGAGTTCACTGAGGGAGATAAGAAGCAAGAAACTGTCTTTTGGCCACTTTTCTCAGTCGGTTGGACTCTGCTTGGCAATGAGCAAACTTAGAGAATTCCACATTTACTGAACTATTGAGCACTAATTCCAAAACCAATTAATTCAAACAAGGTCACATTGAATGAGAGAGTTTTCAATTAGAGCTCATACAATTACTCAGGATGCCTGAGGAATTGCAGGTTTCCCTTCTCCTGACTTAAAGCTATTTTCAGCTTTCCATTTTTCAAAGAAAGGGCTACGTAGGGTGAATTTTTACAGCACATGTTTGATATTTAGCCACAAAACTCTCATTGCCAGTAAATAGATTGCATGGTCAAGTACTTACAAACGTAAAGGCATGAGAATTTGATATGTCACAGAGAAATTGTACTGCTCCATAGCACAGCTGCCCCTGCAGACCCTAAAAGGCCTGATTCACTAGTTGCTATCTGAACAGTAATGATAGTAGTTATTCTTTTTTTAGTTTTTTTTTTTTTTTGGTTTTGTTTGTTTGTTTGTTTGTTTGTTTTTTATCCCCA